GGGGGGGTCAGGACCCCCTGACCCCCCTCTAAATCCACCACTGTATTTATAACAGCTACGGATTTTTGAGGAAAAATAAAAAGATGAGGATTTTTGCTCTGTTTTATGGTTATTTCAGCTTTTGGGACTTTGGAGTCACTTCCTATTCTGTGTTAATACAATTGGGTGTTAACTCATTGTTCTAATTCCCAACCTTGTTTGGGTAAATGCACTTTACCAGAGATGAAATACTCCTTTATATTTTTTTAACCTAACAAGTAATATAATTGATTCCTATTGTATAATATGGTGTCATTTCCTTTAAACATAAAGGTGGGGAGAAAAAGCGCCATAATAAACCTTTTGGAAAGGTTTAGACCCCCACTACACACTGTATCATTATAATGGGGTTACCATGGTTATAAATGTAACGATGTTGTGAGGCACCTAACAAAATTCAAACAATGCAACGGTGTCACTGCACTGGTACTTGGTCTTATTTGATAGTACAATGAAAGGAAGACCATTTTACTTATTAAACTTGCAGAGGTACTTAGTAGAAGTAAAAGCCTCATCTTGATAAAAAAATGTACTGGATTTGTATAATATATTTTGGAGTTCTCAAGAGCTTTGTGTTTTTAACATATTTTGCTTTGCAGGTTTGCCTTTCAAGAACACAGAGCTAACCACCAAAACTACTGGGGGTAACTCATGGCCCAAAATGCACACTTTATCATTTTGCACTAAGTCTAAATCATATATATCTTTTCATGTGAAAATGACACATTCTTCATTTCTAAAATCAGCCTTATATTAGACAAACAATACAATATATGAGACTAAGTATGTTGCTTAAATCCTTCTTGACATATTTTAAAGTCAGATAACTCTGAATCATAACAGAAACCCCTAGTTACCACTGAGGTTGAATGGGAATTCACATACATAGAATAATCATATCTGACCTTGAAGTGTATTCTTATGCTTAAAGGTCATATTTAAGACTTGATATTACATGTTAGACCCCATTTCCAGAGATTAGATCGATCTACTTTAGATTGACCTAACTCCCTGGGGGTTCACGCTAAATAGCTGTCAGCCGGGCGGACACAAAGGTTAATTACCCTCTTACGGCTCGTAGTAGGCAGGACGGACATTTGAGCCGGATTCTCTGACAGTAATCTAGTGAGACTCCCTGCGAGGATAGATCGATCTAAAAGCTCTGGGAATACAGCCTTAGTAATGTATTATAAAAGCAGTACATGGGCATGATAATTAGACTTCCAAGTATAATTCCAAATCTCTTCTTCATTATTGCCAGCATTACTATCCGGACTGTAACATGGGTAAGTTTTGTAATGTCTTCATCTGTTCTTTAATATCTTTTTGGAATATTCTGTTAATTGTACCACCAGAGTGCGCACTGGGGTTATACGTGGCTTTTGCCAAGACCGATACGTCTTCTGGCTGTGCCATCCCAGTGGTACATCTCTTCATAGACAATATATATATATATATATATATATATATATATATATATATATATATATATATATATATATATATATATATATATAGGACCTTGGGATTAGGTCACATACATGTATAACCTCAACTTGGAAGACTTTTGTTTTTGGACTGTGTTGGTGTATTTGCATATAGGTGTGAAACTCATTGCAATACAGTGTACCTAGTCAAAATGTTAAAAAATATCTTGATCCTAAACCCCAGGAAATCTGGGAAAAGTCATTGACTTGCAGAAAGTTTGGCAAAGAGTCGGAGAGGTGTTGCAAAGCATGGTTTCTAGCAGTGGATACACATGATAATGAAAGAATCCTAAGTACTTTAAACATAAACTTTGATCCTCCCCCATTCCTTTTTAGGCCAATTTGCATTATGATACATGATAGTAAAGTCCAGCACAATGCACGATTCAAGAAAGCAATGTTTGAGCTTGTTTCATGAACAGGAACATTCTTTTTTAATATCTGCTTTTGTACATGTACATGTAAGTGTTCCCTCACTTTTTGAGCAGTATATATTGTGATGGGAATTAATGTACACTTAGGGTCTCTTCATCTTTGTGAGTTTAGAGTTTGATTTTTAATTTTGTTCTAATTTTAAGAAAGTTATAACTTAAAAATGCTTTATCTGTAAAATTCACAATTTTTCCCCATTGAAAAAATTGAATGATTACTGATGCATGGGGAGACCATTACAAGGTTTAAGCAGTCTTCCTTTCATGTATGTCCACCATATTAAGGTTGCGGCCTAGCTAGCACTGGGCTCTCCTCATTTTGAATGGCCACTTTATCTTATAGATATAAGTACTAGTATGCCAACATGTATATTTGTGTACATCGTTTGTTCGGTTTTAAAAGATTGATAAAAGAAGCTTCCATTCGTGTTATTAATGCATAGAGTTCAGGCATTGGTACATGGTTATTTTAATCAATTATTGACTGCATTCTAGCTCTAGGCCAGTAAAATTTCTATTGACTTGAGATGCCATTGCAGAAGTATAGAGATGCAATAGCCAAGGCACAAAGTCTTAAGCTGGGGATTGACGCGGAGGCAGCTGCTCTGCTTGAACTTGATTTTCTGGCTCGTGTGAACCAGTTCCCAAACTTATATGGCGGGCCTGTAGTCAGACGTGCCATTCAGCGATATGAGGAATTATGGTTGCCACTTGCTGCAAGGCTCAAAGGCCAAAAGATTGCCGCTCCTCTTGATGTTGCCTGGGTATGGCACTGCCACATGCTGTCCCCCCTCAAATACAGAGAGGATTGCATGGCACTTGTTAACTCAGTCATATGCCACCGTCTGCTCAGTGACCAAGAGAGAGGTGATTGTTTGCTGAAGACTAAAGGTTTCTGGATACAGGAATATGGTCCAGATGTCCCATTTGTGGTGGACTTGACAGATGATATTTCACCATCCTATGATTACCAAACAAAATGTTCTTACAATTTAGAGGCAGCCATTGAAAGGCAGAGTGTGTTCTATTATCAGGTATCCCTCCCCCATTATAGATCCTGGACCTTCTTAGAGAAGGCTGTTCAGCGTTACAAAATGTTTTTGTATTTGAAACAACAAAATCCTTATGTCTTTCTTGTCCCCTGCTATGACATTGACCTTGTCTGGCATGCACACCAGGTACATCCAAACATCTACCAAATAGACACAGTCAACATATTGAGAAAAATGCTAAACCATGATGATACTGTTAATGATCGCAGCGAGGGATCCAAGCTTGACAGAGCAAATAAACTGACACGAAGACTTTGGCAGGCTTTATATGGTGTAAGCATTGCACAACCTGGATGTATGTTCCGTGGTTCTCCACCAGAGGGGAAGATTGTTGCCATGACGACTGCACAGGTCAGCAGTATCACCTCCAAACACACTCATGTCACCATCACAAAGGCAGATGCCATCAACGTACCACCTAGCACCAGAGAAGGGAAAGTCAAAATTTTCCTCTGTAAGCTTTCTTTACCCCTTGGACCCTCAAAAAAGGTCTTCAAGAGAGCATGCAAGCACATTGTGTCATTTAAAATACCGTCTGGCAGCTTTAAGGGGAAGCGTTTTTTCTATGACACAGGGAAGCACCCATACCTTATTCTCCAGGCCATTGACACAACAAGGACATGGTGTGGCTGTGGTGGGGAGGAGATTGGGCTCAGTCAGCACCTTCTGGCATATCTTGTAGAGGAGCACCTAGGGAAGTACCACCATTTTTCTCTGACTGTTAGGTTTCCAGAAGAGTTGAACGTCCAGCTTAAGATGCACATTGGTCAGCTCCAGCGAGGCCCAGCTATCCTACATGTAGTGGCTGACAAATTTGTTAAGGCTGTGATGCCAGAGAACCTCGAGTCCATGTGGGGTCCCACACCACTGACTTTACTGCCCTCTGGTGTAAAGAATGCATGTGTGGTGGCATCACATAGGTGAGATGAAGCATAGTGTCCACTTCAATTTTCATACTTGATTGGTTTTAACGGGATAACAACTGTTAGTAAGATATCCATTTTTAAAAATAAATACGTACATTGTAAACAACTCATAGAAATATAAAAAACAAGGCAGCAAAGCTGTCAAATGTACAGACAAAGAACAGAAAATAAAGATGCAAATAAGTGAAAAATTAAATTTTCACAAAAAACTGTTAAATTGCCA